TGAAACAGGTGGTCAAGGCTGTCTCATTGAGGTGAAATTTAAACACAGACTTGAAGGAGGTGAGGGCAATTCGATTTCAAGAGAAAAGCATTTCAAGCAGAGGAAATGCCAGAGTAAGGTCCCAAGGCAGTCCTGAGAATCCTGGTCCCAGATTGCTCTAATCAGGGGAGCATCAGAAGAAGCTCGGACTATATGAGTCCACAGACCTTTTGAGTAGAATTCAGATAAACTTAACATTTCTTTCCATTCTGAACGTGGGCAAACGCATTCTATTCCTACCACATGCCTGCTAAGCCTGTCTTGATCTATTCTCTACATGAAACCATATTAGCTTTCAATCACCCTAATATAGGGCCTCAGATTCCCTCCAGATATTAATATATAAAAACTTTAAAGTAAACTGGGCCAGTACAGCAAACGGAATTGTAATTAGCCGAAAGAATCAAAGAGCAGGAGAAGCATGGAAGGCATGTGATAGGGACAGAAGGAAACTTGTTAGAGGCCTGTGAGAAATTTGCCCTGGGTCTAATCCCACAACCTGTCTTAATCCAGTTTCATGTGTCATTCTCGTTTATGACTAATGAACTAGCCTCCACGACTGAAAACACTGAGAACTCACTCTGCTATGATGTCACCCCTACAGAGAAGAAGTCTCAGCTGTACAGAATGGTAAACAGCTGAGTCATGGTTTACCCCTTGCATTTTCGGTAATTTCTTGTATTTTAAAAATTCTAAAAGTAGCCAGATCGTTGATAGTTAATTTTGTTTAAAAAATTTATTTCCGATATCTAGAATTTGATACAGAATTTTTCGTTACCACATATAATAAATGGATGAGGATAATAACTTCTTTTTTTTTTGCATAATAGTCCTTCTTTCAGTTAAGTTATAAAATATTTTTGGCATTCTGCTCCAGTCAGTCATTCTTCATAGATTTTTTTCATTAATCCACACTTAAAAATAATCCACTAAAAGGGAACACCAGTTTATTCAGAAATAAAACTTAAAATATAGTGATAGGTTAGGGCTTAGTGAACCAAATCTGGACAGTAATTAGTAAAATCATCTACATGAAAATACACTTGGAGAGTTGTATAGTCTTACTAATCACATAATTTAAATCCTGGGGAGGAAATAATTTTTCAATACCAGTTTCAATCAATATTGGATATCAGATGGTGAATTCACAAAACCAGAAGGCTTTTGGAAAATAGGACATCACACCGAAATTGCCAATTCATAGAGTCGAAGATTTGACTGATAACGATTTGACAATTCTGTACTACAAAAGGTATAAACAAGTTAAAATATACATGACAAATTAAAAACAATTTTGCAGTTTACTTAATAAAAGATATACCTATTTTAATAAAGAGTTCCTATGTATCATTAAGTAAACCCATAGAGCAGTGAACAAAGGATATAAAGACAGTTCACAGAAGAAATAAAAATTGCCAATGAACAGAAAACATTCAATCTGGTAATCTGGAATGCATCCTATACACATATTTCCACTAATATTCAAAGATATACCTTTTAAACAGTTTACTGCAGCATTTACAACAAAATATTGTAAACAATATTGAATAAAATATGCTATGAAGCAGCCATTAATAATAATAGATTTCAAATACTGACAAGGAAAGTATAGATAATCTCACTTTTGTTAAAACACACACTTAGGTACAAAAAACATTAAAAAGAATCTTAGTTACTTGAATTTGATCAGGACAAAGTTATACCAAACTGTGAACAATAAACAATGGGAAGTGCAAGTTGTAGCTATATAAAAGACTTTTACTTTATACCATTTTGTTTTGTTTGCATTTATAAAATGAATATGTATTACATTTATAATCAGCAACAAAATCAATAATTTCTGTTTTGGGAAAGAAAGAAAAACATTTCAGGTTTAGAAAATGGCCTAGTGAGAAAATAAATTTCAATACTGGATGAAGAAAACTGGAGTGGGCTTCTCTGTGGGTTATTCTCCTTCAAATATATGGCTTTGTTATCCCTGCTTACAACTTAAAAAGTAAAACATTTTACACAAAGAATAATCTCTTTAAATGGTTATGAAAGGGTATAATTTAATTGTAAATGAAAATGCACTGGAAGTGAGATCTAATGCATAGACATTTAACGTCAACTAATGGAAGCGTATGGGATGTGAATTTTACAGAGAGGCTGTTTTCTGAATTATAAAATCCGCAAATTCAAAATCCAAGTGTGGATGACAAAGACATATACTGTTCTTTCAGTTTAATCTAATCTTATATCCTCACTTCCCCCACCCCAATGCAGTTCTTTCCACAGACCAAAAAATAATCCTTTTTTTTTAGACAGCTATCACTTTTTTACCCTCTGCTTCAACGTTCCATTATAACATTCTGGCTAGATCGCTGGTGATTTAGAAAGCATACTTGTTCAGAGACTTCTAATTTATTAAGAATATGGTAATGGTTCTGTAATTAAGAGCTATTTATAAACACTGACAAATAACTGAATCCTAAACATTTAAAAGTGAATTTGTACCATTTAATCAAACGAATATATTGTCAAAGGAAAATGAATTTTCCTAAATGCTAAAGAAAAACACAGGCTGTGTGAACAGAGGTTCTTGGGAAGTGAGTCATGCCTTATAAGCCACTTGGATATTCACAGCATCCTGGTTGGTTTTGCCTGCTAATAATCTACAAAATAATGAGAAAGAGGGGCAAAATCACTCCAGCTGAGAACATGAAGAACAGAACCAACTAGGAGGAAGCCTCTTATTGGTAGAAAGTCGATGGGCTTTTTGCCCACCAAAGGAAATACAACCTTTTGCGGAGGGTGGGGTTTGGGGGGAGGTGCATGGAAATCGGTCGTTTGGTATTTTAGTAAGGACGATGCCATCTTTCCACTTACCTGCTCAAAGAGACGATAAAGAGATAAAGAGCCAGCTTTGTTTTAGGAGCCTGTACAATTCACATTCCTTTGAATCCAAGGCAAAGATTAGAAGCCGGTCCCCACCCCTATTCCAAGTCCATCCTGAAGTACAAGTGTTTGGTTATGATCTCACCTACCCACACCTGGAGACCTGTCATAGCATGGACAAGTCCAAACTATTTCTCGTTCCTCCACCCAACACTCTCTTCATAATACACAAATGCAACAGAACAATTTTTTTTAAATGGGGCACCTTCTTAAAGCAACTACTTCCCATCTTTCTAGGTTCCCTTCTATAAAATGTCTCCTCTCTCCAATTTATTCTGAATTTGGCTTCAGGATTTCTCTTCCTAAATTGCTTGGATATTTTCAGTGAGGTGAGTGTAATGAAAAATCCTTAGCAGATCTTTTTCCTTAATAAAATTCAAACCCCATAGCAAAGCAATGAAGAGTTCTATGTATCAGTGAATGAACAACCCTTTTAAATTTCTTCTACCATTCTACATTTCTTGAGCGTTTCTGCTTCTTTTACTTACGCTATTTCCTGTACATTTCAATGCTCGTTTTATCTATGGAAATCCTCCTACCTACCCTTTAAGGTTAACTCAGTTTTTCTTTCCAGAAGTCTTCAAATACGCTCCAAAAGTGAATATTTAAACCTGTGGCCCTGTGAATTTGAAGCCAGTTCTCTCTAGGTGCTTCTCCTGTCACCCCCAAATAACCCGGGTACCTTGCCCTCTTCACGTGGCCACTTAGTGAATCTGGTTAACTAAGAGGGAACCTTCCATTTTCTCCCACCAGTGTATAATAAGCTCCTTAAAGCAGATCCTACCAGTCTTCTTTTAATGCCCCAAAGCACATAGAACATTATATATATATAACATATAACACAACTTGTGCCCTCAATTCGTCATTGAATAAATCAGGAAATAGGAGCCAAGTTTTGGAGAAACAAACGCCTTTATAGAGCTTTGGACAGGGAGGCAGTACCGTGGTTAAGAGCATGGATGTGGGGGTCTGACAGATCTGGATTTAGATTCACTAGGTTACTTACCAGCTGTGTGTCTTAGGCATTTCCTCTAAAAAAAATGAAGTTTCCCAAACCTATCTACTATGGGGCTTGTGAAAACGGGGTAACACACAAAAATACCTTAACATGTGTGGCATATGCTAAGGAGGTATCTGTTAGGTATCTTTTGTATCCAAAGAAGACTCTACTAACACAATACTTAAAGACACATTTTAAACAACCACTTCTGTGATCTCTAGGCGATAGGCAAGTCTTTAGTGGAAGACTAGCCTCTCAAAATCCACTGCTTGAATGTTGACAAGTCCCTTTAACCTCTCTATGCCACTGAAGTTTCCTTATGTCATATATAATGTGGTGACACCATGCTTATCCAACAGAAATACTGAGTAAGATAATGTATGTAAAAGCACTAAATTACTGTAAAAGATTACTTTTATTATATACTTCAACTCAGAAAAAAGCCAAAAGTATTCAACATTTTATTCAATTTCTACCATGTTCTGTGATAGCTTTGAAAATAAATTTTCCCCTTTCATATAATTTTCCTTCCCTTTACTGTTTATAGAAGTGTTTGGTTACTCAAGTTCTCAACTTGAAAACCAAATCCAGAATGGTTATATTTTACTCCCTCTCCTGGCCTAAGAGTGGGATAACACTACCTGAGACTAATAGTTCAAGATCATCTGTTTTCACAGCCGTGACTATGAAGATGAACTAGCATTCTGCATAAAGAGAAAATCCATAGTTTCAGCTCTAGCTTATAGATCTGAGAGAAGCAATTTATGTCTATTTTTTATTTTTAACTAGTTATCATCTTCGGGTTCAAACCTAGAAAATTATTTTTGTGCAAAGGCCAGTTGCCTCTTTTTCAGAATAATTAGAAAATTCTGCTGTTTCTATATTTAATGCTGAAATCCATTGAAAACACCCAAATTTGCAATTTCCTATATTTCCTTTGCAACCGCTAATTTTGCAATTTCCTTCCAAGCTTACAGGATTTTATGAACTAATTTAACTGAATCACTTTTTTGTATTCAAGGTCTTCGATTATGTATATGAAAACTAATTTATTAAACCTTTGTACACAAAGACGAACATACCTGTATAGCACGCTTATGTGAAGAATGAAGTTATAAAAAAGTAAAACTGTTATTAAAATTGATGTATGTAAATCACTTACAAAAATACCCCAAATGGGATAAAGCTGCTCATCCCTGATTCTTCTCATTTGGTTGTCGGAGTTGAAATATGAATTTAAAATGGTTAGAATTTTTTCTTTTAAAAAGTGATATATTAAACTTATATACAGGATAATTAGCAAAATGTAGAAAGGGAAAACAATGTACAAAAGACAGATAAAAACCATCACTCTTGACAGACACAATCCAAAAATAGTATAAACCTTAATAAACTATCTCTAAACCAGCTCATACATACAACCCCCCCCGCCCCATTTTTATTAGTGAGAATAAAATATAGTAAACCAGCAAGCCCAGTCTTTCTGTTCTTTAAAACAGGCCTGACTTTAGGCCACAAAAAAGCCTCGGATTGATTTTTAAACATGGAAGGGACAAATGGGAAGACAATTTTATCTGTCCATTTAGTACTAGTTACCAGAACACAAAGTTACAGATACTTAAATAGCTCTCGGTACTCTGTCAAGCAGTTATTCAGACGCTTTCTTGCTTTTTTGCTGGTTTCGGGGTGAGTTCTTTAACAAGCTTCTTATCCTGAGGTACATTCCCGTAGATTCTGCCATATTCTCAAATTCAAACGGCATTATCCCGCTTGCAAACTTGCTCATGTCAGGTACCGGGCTATGAATTTTAGTGGCGGCTGATGGACTGGTGTCCACGTGAAGGGGCTTCTGGCCGTCTCCATTCCTAATGTCACAGTTTGATATGATGCTGCCATTATCAAGGAGACCGCCTTCAGAGTCTGCCTGCGCAGACTCCTCCTCTTCCTTCTGACAAAGCAATACGGCCTCGGAGTCTGGACTGGAGGGAGGTTCAACTTCTGGTTTCTCTGGACAGGCATCCAGTACCTCGAGCTCATCGGGCATCTGCTTCTCAGATGTTTTTCCCTCTGGGACAGGGAGGTCTAGCTCATTTGGACAAGGTGAAGAGGCCACCGAATTCCCAGTTAAAGGTGTGTCGACAGGAAGATCGGAATCGCTGTTGACGCTCTCGGCCTGCTCCAGGGCCGCCCATATCCGCCTCTGCTGTTCTTCAAGTTCTTCCAGAGTCAGCGTGTCCTCGTCCATGGCCATAGCCGCCACTCTGGCCTGTGGCGAGTCACTGGGGGTCAACAGTGGGGTGCCCTTGGGGAGTGGAGGTGTGAAGGTGGGCGGAGGAGTCCCCCGGGGTGCGGGGGGAGGAGTCTCGGGGGGCAGTGGCGGCTGGAACTGAAAAGCACCCCTGCTCGGAGAACCATGCAGGCCGTCTGCGTCTGAAATGACAAAGTTAAGAGACTTTAAGTTGTCACAGCACTCTGTTTTACTAACATTTATCACTTGAACTCGGGTGTATGCAGAGATTCGATGGCCAGAAATAACTGGCTTGAGGAGGAAAACTCTGTGGATGGTCACACCAAGAATACTGCCTCCTGCCCTCAAGCCACCTGAAAAGAACACCAGCCGAGAGCCACAGGACCTGCCGGCGTCAGGAACTTTAACCCCTTAGGAAATCCCATTTCGTGCTGTGTGCATCGTTTTAGAGCCAGATGACACAAACAGCAGCATGGAGACACGGAGTCATTGCTATGTCATCTGCTGTGACCGAAGTCAGGGGCCCGCGGAAGATCGCAGTAGGACGCTTGGCTGGAAAGGCAGGCAGGCTGGACTGAGCGTGTGCAAGGCTGGAGGGGACAAAGCTGAGGAGACGAGGCAGGGCCACCCCCTGGCCTGTTTCCCAATTCTGTATCAAGTCTCGACTGCTCGCCTGAACTGTGGGTGCATGTGGCTACCTCGTCACTGGTCATCACCACCGATGTGTCCCACAGACACAACAGACCCGACCTGTCCAAAACAAAGGATCTTTTCCTAAAATCTGGACTCTGCTCTCATGTGCTCTTCTCATTAATGGCACCACTATTGGTTTCTGGTTAAAAAATCGCCAAAATTGAAACCTGTTTTATCATCTAAGAGGCCTCCCTTTCCTTCTGCCCCACCCAGGTCTCCATCACTGTCTGCTGTAATCAGCCCTGTAGCGGCAACACGTAATCCTATGGCTCTGTAGTAGGTATCTCTAGGGGCCGCCACATTTATGTTAAGACATTCACACATCTGCAATCCCGGGTGGCAGAGCAGCCACGCAGGGCAGCAGTGTGTCTTAGTAACCTTCCTGCCCTCAGGACCTAGGACAGAGCCTGGAAGATTCAACTGAATAACACAGAATCTTGAAGGCTATGCAAAACCAGTCTGATCTTTACTGTACAGGCAGTAAGATCTGTAATGAGAATACAATGCAATTTAGAGTTTAAGAAATGAGCTCGCTCAGAAGAGCAAAGAATGAATAAGAGCCCACAAGAAAAAAAAATATATATAAAAATCAGTTATAAGGTCACCAAGGATGATTGGGTGAAAGAAAGGCCTGAACTAAGAGGCAATTGTTGAGATGTCAGGATTTTGGTAACTGGCTAGAAACGAGGGCTGAGATTCCGGGTGGATGGAGCTGTAGGTGAATGGAATTTCTCAGTCCAGGTAACCACAAAACGCGGTCCAGAGCCTCACCTTATCACGTGGGCTCCGCTGGCGCTGGATTGGCTAATTACATATGAAAAGAGAAAGAGAGAGAACTTGCCCTAGGAGGCAGGTTTCTCAGGCCTCAGCAATCTGTTAACAAGAAATAGAAGAAAAAGCTTCCAGCACAGGGCTAAAAATGCCTGCACGTAAGTGTGTGGATCTAGCAACCAGGGGTGCCAACACCACAAATTCCCAAACTTTGAGAGCTGGCAGCTGTGTCTCATATGGTTCAAAACACCAAGCACAGGTGGCTTTTTCCTCCCAGGCACTGTAAGTGCCTAAGACCAAAATTCACTTCTTATGGGGAGATTTCTTCCAACAGAATTGAAGTACACAGGCAGTAGTCAGACAACGGACACCAACTAACGTTCTTGAGAGAGAGAAACCAATATTTTTGCCTTTGCTCAGAAACCTTTGCTCTGGCCTTTGTCAACACTGAGAAGTGCTGGGCTCTGGGAATGTAATTTGGTCTGGGACAAGTGCTTTTGGATTTTAGGGAATAGCCTGTTTTCAAAATTTCCTCGGTATTTTGGCAAAAGCTGCAATAATTCTGTTTCCTATGAACTCTTCGGCCTCGATTAAGGTGAGATTGGACATTAAGGTTAAGGCCGTAGGTGCTAAAAGCCCAGGCTGCAAACACTACCCGGTCACCGAGAACTCTTACGGCCGAGACTAAGCAGAGAAAAAACTTTGAGAAAATGGTTTTGGGGTTTTGATTTTAGACTTTGAAGTCACTCAGGCAAAATAATCAGATTTTGGATTTGAATTCCCTTGGACTTGAAAGGCCTTAGTCTGTGACCTTTAAATTCTCTCTTGGAATTTGAAACTGAGAAGGGGAGTTCACATTCAAATCTGGCGCAATTTATATGCTGGCACCTTACTATTAAAGTGTCTGTATGCATTTTATCTCAAGGCTGCCCTTTAACCTCACTCAGACAGGACCAAAGGAGCTAACATACTGTGGGATGGGAAACAGCCCAGCCTTGGATTCAGAGTAGCCTTGGAGTTTATCCAATTAACCCAGTTTTCTGATTCATTCCAGAGCTGTTTGGAGGCAAAATCTAGACCACTCATCAGTAGTCCCAAAGGAGCAGTGGTTGGTACTGGGGTGGGAGGGGGGGAACCTCAAAAAGGCGGGAGCACAGCTGTCCTGATCCACGATTGATTGATCTGCTGAAAAGGACCGTCAAGAGTCCTGCCTGACCGCAGGCCCCACGGCTCTGCCCAGAGGGCTGAGAGAGCAAAAAGCCGGGAGCGTCGGCGGACAAGGCTCTGTGCCATTCTGCATTTCTAGGCGGACAGACTCTTGATGATCAGGAAGAGATGGGAAGGCTCGGCTTGGCTCTGTTGGGACTGAGCTGCCACAGGGGACACTCTCCACTGCTTGTCTCAGAGCACCGCCTCACCTTAGGGCCCATCCAGACACAGGACTGCTGGGAGGGGGTGGGTAGGTCTGCCTGACTCAGGGATCCCCCCAACTGACCCATGTGGCCCTCACACCGAGCTGTGTCCTCCAACCCAGCTCTCATCAGTAACAGTGGCGATGCTCTGATCTCCAAGAATGAGACAGAACACTTACTACGTAGCTGGTGCTCATAAAGAGCTGCCCCTTTCTTATGGAGCTCAGGAGCACAGGAACTTGTCCTGCCTTCTCGATGACATCAAACCATGAGCAAACCTACCCGAGTCGAGCTCCATGTCGGCAGGCGAGGCTGCCATGCCATGATCCTTCTTCTGCTTCTTAGGACTGCTCGGGCTGGACTGGGACGAAGGCCTCTTGCTGCCAGACCTCGCACTTGGCTAATGGAGGAACCAAACCGAAGTCAGACAGCGTGGACAAAGAATTAGACTTAAGTATGATGTAGAAACCCATCTGGAGCTAAGTCTAGGTAACCAGTGAATGTAGCTACCTTTTTCCTTTTGATTCATCAGAAGATAGAGTGCGTTTTTACAAACTGAGAAGACAGTAAGATTCTAATGAGCTACAAAATCCCACCAAGCTATGCAATAAATTTGTACAAAGGACACCCTGAAGGTCTCTTTACCGCTTGGAAGTTAGAAGTAAGGTAATTGGCAAACACGTCCTTCTGCTGACAGGCCTGCATTGGTATGGACCCAAACATCCTCCATTCCTAATGACGAAAGACAAGGAAAAAATAAGTGTGTATTTTGCACAAAGCGGGTAAAATGGGATCTCAAATTATATTTCTGCTTCATATGTGACTTTTTCTTTTGGGGGTAATTAATCAAAATAATGGTGCATTAAAAGAAAAAAAAACCCACCCAACCCCGCCTACAGAAAAATCGGGACTGAACACTAACGGACTACCTAACAAAGTCACTTGGCCCCCACACGTTCTGCCTATGACAAAATGATAGGCAGTAACGCCATGGGCTGTACACACAGCCTGGCTGGCTCCACTCTCTCCCATCATGCACCAGTGCTGCTGGCATGACTGGCCATCGCTCATTTCCCCTAACTCATTTACTCCTGCTGGGTGTTCCGGCTTCGTTCTTTCCCTTTCCAAACTGAGCGCTCATCTTTAAGGTTCAACATCACTCGTTTCTCCCTCATCGCCAATAGCACATTCAACAAGGATTCTCAATCAGGATCACTTTGGGCTCTTTCTTGTTAAACCCATAGATTCCAGGGACTGAGGCAGTTAAATCTGAGGGAGGGACTGAAGAATGCGCATTTCAGGAAAAAGAACAGCCTACTTAGATTTAAGCAAGGCAAACATTCACTTCCCAGGTAATTCTGTAAAACTTTTCATACTGTCTCAGAATCATCCCATATTTAACAGAAAAATCATCTGTTTTTATTTTTTAAAAAATCTTTTAAATTTTATAATAGTTTTAGATTTATAGAAGCTAATCATTCTATTTTAGCTCCTTAGGGCATAGAATCAGAAAAAACTGGTGGTTTTTTGCTTTTTCGGATAAACAGGATTCTAGTCAACATAAAGAAACTTAAAAAATTAAACACATTAAGTAACATTTACTTCTTAATAGAGATTAGTACATAAGCTAACATTTTGAACGAACTACATAATAATGTCATATCTCAGAATAATAAAAGAATATATACTTACATCTGGAATTCCTCTGGGAGTTGATATATTAAATCCTGGATAGTTTACCAATTTCGAGAGATCATAAGTGACACTTTGATTCTGTTGTATTTCTCCAGTTTCTGTTTCCCCATCAGCATCATCTATTACAGACCATCAAAAGGGTTAATATTGCTAATGACAATTTAAATCCTTCTCCAGACCAAAAGCTGACCTAGAAAGTGCTCGCATTCACGGCAAGAGAATTATTCTGAGAATGGCTTTCATTATAGTATCCCCAAACCATTAGATTAGAATTTTTAAACAGCTGTGGACATTACTTTGATAAAATATTTAAAATCTTGGAAACTTTAGTTCTTCCGTGGGTTGCTTAAAAGTCGACTTTGCACTGATCGTATGACTTGCCGACTGCTCTATTCCAATGCTTTTTTTAATAAGCATTTACATAATGCTTACTGTAGTATTTTCTTTTCTGATAGTGTTTTAAATAGTTTACCAGTAGTATAATTCACGTAATCACGTAACAACCCTAAAAGGTACATAACATTAAAACTGCTTTAGATGAGAGCATTCTTTGAGGGGTACTTACTTGGGAACTACTTTCAGTTTTGAAAACTACTAAATAAATCATGCATTTTATTCTCCAGTCCTATAATGTCTATATAGCTAAGGTAATCATATACATTATAACAAATTTCTCTTTCTAAAAGTATTCTGGCTAATAAGCCAAGAAGTAATGAAAGAATGAGAATACAACCATTTTGCAACCCATCATTAATAAACAGATATAAGCAATGATCACCAATGACTGATGCCAGCATGATTCACAGGAAATAAACAGAGGGACAGAGGAATAACAACAATATAGTAACGACATAACAACAAAATAAGATAGAGATGCATCGGCACAATCTTAAAAATTCTAAAGGACAAAATACGTAGTTTTGTTAAAAACAAGAAAGGAAATCTATAGATTAAAAGAGATGTAAGGCGCTCTCAATTATCCACAACCTTTTGTCTAAAGAATCTCTAATCAAATAAGCTAAAAAGAGGGAGGGAAGGAAGAACTGAGCTAAATACCTCTTTGGGGCTGAGAAGTGATGCTTGGTAAATGTTTAAAAATATTTTTAATTAACTAAGTAAGATATGGAAACACTTTCATTTAAAAAAATTTAAAGCATTAGAGATAAAACTAACATCTTTAGCCATCCTCTTTCTTTCTCAGGGATTAGCATGGTTGAGTTTGCTGTATTTTGACTAAGACATTTTAATTTTACAAAAAAATATTTTCTTATTATCTACCACATGCCAGGCACTGCGCTACATGCTAGAGGATATATTGGTGAATAAAAATAGACATGATTTTAGCAATCATAACCTTACAATCTAGCTGAGAAAAGACAGTACTCAAGTAAAACGGAAATAAGTTTATATAAATTGTGACCAAGTATGGAGAACACAAAACAAGGCACTGGGATAAAGAGTGGAAGGACAGGTGGGGTGAATGAAGGAGCGATGTATTTAGGTAAGGTGGTCAGGGAAGGCTTCTAGAAGTCTAAACCCTAAAACCTAGATGGCACTTGGAGAGAAAACAGCACTGTTTCATCCATGTGGGTTTATTTCTTTTTTTTAAATTTAAGATCAACGGCATCATAATATGTACACTACCCAGAAACTCGTTCTATATTCAGTATTGCACAGAGGTTTTGCCATGTCTGCCATGCAGATTCACTCCACTGTAAGTATTCCACAGGCCAGATCTACCATGCTTTGTTTAGCCATTCTCCTGTAGGGCCTGAATGTTGTTTTTTATTTTTCACTATCATAGTCAATTATACAAAAATACACATACACGCCATTTCCTTGTGCGCAGTTGCGAATATTTTTCAAGAGTAGATACCTACAAGAGGAATTCTAGGTTACAAGAGGGTTTATGTATTCTAAATCACACAGGTCTCCTGGCATTGACATACTCTTCCGTTACCATTACTGAGAAGGATTTAAAGAGCACTAGCTGGAGAGCTGACGCTCTGGCCTCGCTAGACCGGTGAGCTGGTCTGCCCAGATAACCATCTGGGAATTCTCAATGAAGTTTTAGTTCCTTCCTTGTAAAACAAAGGAAACCCCATCATGACATTTTTCTGTTAACTGGGAGCATATTTTACAAGCCAGCCATTCCTATCACATTTTATTGTGATTCT